TATAAAATACATTATTACAGTATAATATAGGTAACTCAACATGATTAAAATAATTTTATAAGTAGTATAAATATGATGTAAAATATATTTTTACTACAAATTATCGAGTATAATATCTAAATGCATTGTTTTTATTCAAAGACTGTCAGATTTATTTGGGGATGATCGAGTACTTAGAATTAACGAAAGTTTCGAATAATCAATGGTTAGAATTATTGAGAGTCGACTGTACAATGTACATCATTATATCTCATAAAATAATATGAATAAAATTAATATTCACTATCGTAAGATAAAAACACCAATCCAATTCCTTAAAGTCAACAACGTGATYTCCTTAAAATACAAAACAATGAGAAGAAAAACCTCAAAAAAACAGAAGCCCTTATATATTTTTATAGATACTAAGCCGCATAATTTTMAATTCGCGATGTTAAAAAAGAACTTTAAATAAAAAATATAGGTGCTTAACTCAACAGGTTTAAAATAATTTAATAAGTAATATAATATGATAAAAATGCTTTATAGTAAGATATGCGATTATCATACACTATAATAATTTATAGTGTCAATATAATATCTAGTTTTATCTTATACTATTTTAGTATTTTAGCATAAAACAATAAAGTAGGCTTAAAATGTATAACCTATTRCATTCAATTATTATGATTTATGAACACCAAGTTGCGGTTAAGTCTTAACAGTTGACTGTAAAACAACAAACAATGCAATGAGAATAAGTTAGTTCTATCATTAAGCTACACTTAAATGTAAATCATCAAAATGTGTTTAAAACACAAAACGCTCAAATTTGCTCAACTACCAATGTGGGCAGACGATATATTTTTGWATTTAAACCCTACACTGAATCAGAGCGCAWGTCACGTCCAACATTCGTGTAGCTCATGTCGACTAAATGTTGCACAATGTCGGCTAAGCATTCGGTTGCCAAGTCACCGCCCAACGCCAGAAAGTATTCTATCGGATCCTCGCTCGTCACCAAGGAGTCCAGTTCATCGCTTCGGTATCGTAACAAATACGGCACGTCAGTCAATGCTTTGGCGAATCCATTGACGGCGGTCGCGGCCAACTCGGCGTCGATTTCGGGACGACCCGGGACATGGACGCCGGGTGGGACGGACGCGGCCAGCGCGGCGCAATATGTGTCCAGTAAGTCATCCCAGTGCTCCTCACGCACCCGCTGAGTGGAAGATAAGTACAGGAACGACGATAGGTCCAACGCAGGTGATCCGTAATGTAACATAAAAAAGTCGATGGGCAGCACGTCGAACGGATGTTCTCTCTCGTCGTACTGGAACATCAAAGTTTCGTRGTGATAATCGAAGTGACATATGACSGACAGTGGTTCGCGGCCGTTTAATATCTGCGCCATCGTGTTCTCTGCGTCATCGAACAACTCGTTCAAGCGGCGTAAGTGTACGTGGTCTCGGTACCTGTCCCCGTCCCGTTCCAACAGTCGATTTACCCCTCGTTGGCCAAGAATCTTCAACAGGTCGTTCTGCGCCATCATTTTCCCGTTGAACTGTGTTTCTTTGATACCAGCGACGATRTCCCGGAATCTGTCAGAGTCTTTGTGTTTGGCAGTATACGACAGCCCATGAAACCTATAAACGTTAAATTAAATTAAATTTGATGACCATTACATTGTTAGGTTTTTAATTAATTAAGATTTTTAATTA